GTCCTGATATCCTGGATCTGGGAACCTGAAAAGAATCCAACCAAAGCCAAATCTTGCTGCTGCTGTAATGGAGGGGGGGAAGCCTCCATGTAGTCTTGGCAGGATTGAAGTTAATGAAGGCGGAGGGTAAGGGAAAAATCAGCTACCTTCCTCCTCAAGCTTGCCAATGAGTTGCTAGAGACTCGAAGGGGAGGGGGACCCCTCAGCATGAGTTCAATTGGGGTGGTCCCAATTGCTGTGAACCACATTGAGTTTTCTACCCATTGAGGTAGGTGGGTGGCACTGACTGAATTGCATGAGGGCAAAGCAGTGGTTGGGAAACTTTAGCTTAAAAATCCTTTTGTGGACAGTGGGTCTTACTTTCATTATGCAGAAGTCCTTTGTACACTATTTTGGCACCCCTCATGTACAGCCTCCCTAAATACCGTCAAGCCAGTGAAAGGCCTCTTGTGTGGAGATATATTTTGGGTGTGACCACAGTATACTACATTATGGCTAGTCTTCACTTCCTAGGAGCCACAGGAAGTAGGGGGTTCTAGAATATGAAGAACTGAAAGGGGGCTTAAATATTTGGTCCCTAAGTACAGGGATGGAATAACTCTAAGATCAAGTAGAGCTGTTCAGAAAATGTTTATCCATATCATTTCATGTATTTATTTTTTTTTTTTTTTTTACCAACTCAATCATACGACTTTTTAATTCTTCATGGTATTTTCTTCTTTAAAATGCAAGAACATATATACTTAAAACTGAGGCTTAAGTCTGACAAGTGATAACTTTGACAAAGATGCTAGCCTAAGAGATTAAGATATGTGCATTTTAATTAGTAAGATCTGCAAAGTACCAGTAGCAATCATAGAGGAATGAAAAATTCATATTCTCAATATTACCAATAACCAGGGTAAAAAACAGTGGGATTCATCTTCATTTACATCAAGAACGGATAATTAGGAAGGCTATTAAGAAAACCATGTCAGTCAAGCCTATCAAATTATTGTAAGAAATTTAATATCCTAGTTACACTTTTTATCAAATGAAATTAAGTATTTTTTTCATTTCTATCAGTAAGAAATAATAAACTATTGTAAATTGGTATTAATAATTAAAACTGCATTTAAGTAGACAGTCATCGTAGAGTTTGAGTTGAAAAATGTTTAAACAAGGGACTAAATGATCATATCTGTGAAAGGAAATGTATGCAAAGCAAATCTTTGACTACGCCTATTAAATTGAAATTCTCCCACTGTTTAAAAGGTACAAACAGCACTTAGGTGAGTTAATTGCCAGTTGTACCTCTGAAAATCTATCCCCTCGGGTATATTTGTTTTATGAATTTGTGCAGTTTATACTATGGACAAAATTGGTGGACTTACAAGATGGATAAGGAAATGTCATTTTTTATTATGAAACCTATGTGAGTAGCTTCTGGGTTTTGACAAAATATTGACTAGATAATTATTGCTACATTTTGCACTATTAACCCCACCCTGGTCCAAAGTCCACTCAAAATTCCCATCAGAGTCCCTAGGAGATTTGGATGCACAACAGTAAGATCAAGCTAAAGGCAAGAAGGTAAGTTTGCACTGAGGAAAAGGATCATTAGAAATTTCAGAATATAATATACTATGAGTGCAAATTATACACCGAGGCATTAATTTCTGTAGATGAAATACTTTTCTCTGGCTTCTTAACTTGAGATCAAGTCACTCAAAGCCTGCTGTTATATTTTACATCTATATAGCATCTTTTTATCTGAGAAATCTCAAAGCATTTGACAAGCTTTATGACATGCCTTTGAGATAAGTAAGTAGTACTGTTCTCATTGTAGATAGGTAAACTGAAACAGAGGGACTTACATAAAATAATACAGCAAGTTAAATGTAGAGCCAGGAATCAAACCCAAGAGTCCTAGAGCTCAGTCCTCTGTTTTTAGCTGTTAGATTGTGCTTACGTTTTGTTGTTGTTTGTCTGATTCATTCTAAGAGAATCCTTGGAAAATCAGTTTGAGAGAAAAAGGAAACACACCTTTTTAAACAGAGGACTAATGAAACTCTTAAAACAGAACTTGCATATGTAAACCATTGCAAGATAATGCCACCCTGAAAGGGGTTTTGTTTTGTTGTGTGTTAGATGAACCTCAGGCAGCACTGATGGCTGTGGATATGTCTACACTACAATGTAAACCCAGGGAAGCAGCTGGCTTGTGTTAGGGAACGTTGAGCTTGAGTCTACATTGTATCTTAACCCTACGTTAAGACTTTTCTAATGCGTGCTCAAACCTAGAGCTCTAATGTCCACACTGCAGTGCAGAGACCTGAGACAAAGTAACCATATCCCAGAATCCCTAATGGCCCCTCCCGAATGATGGCCACTCTAGCTGTAGGACCATGGTGCATTCTGGAAAAACTTTACTGCCCACCCTGCATGTTACAGGAAATTTGAGCAGCCCACCAAAACAGTCTGCTGAGCAGTCACTTTGGTCTGTGCCCTCCCAGCGACTGGAGCCAGCAACATGGAGGAGGTGCCTTTTGACAAACTTCTCTTGCTTTCGTTTTGACTCCTGTGTCAGGAAACTGGCAGAGCATTTGCAAGGATCTGGTGGACATTTTTGGTGGTTTTTCTGTCCCACCAAAGTTACCTGATGGATTTCATGATGGAGCAGTGGGAGGAGGAGGAACTAGAGGAGGAGAAAAAGTACTCTGGTATTGCAGACTCTCACTGGGAGATGTTTCTCAGAATAATTAGCATAACTGCTGATGCCCCTTATGTATACTCCAACTTCTGGCACAGGGCCACAAGCACAGACAGGTGGGACCACATCATCATGGACACCTGGGATGACCAACGGTGGGTCCAGAACTTCTGCATGAAGAAAGCCAAATTTCTGGAACTTTGTGAGTAGCTTGCTCCCACCCTCCAGTGAAAAGACACTCCTCTCAGTTCATGTTTGCCAGTCCAGAAGCAGATTGCTATAACTGTCTGGGAGCTGGCTACCCCAGACTGCCACAAGTCTGTGGCTAATAACTTTGAGATGGGAAAGTTGACAATCGGTAATCATGATATAGTTTATCCCAAGGTGGTGGGCATTAAAGATATTCCTGAGTAATTACTAGCTTTGAGAAAATGGTGTTTCCTAATTGTTCCAGGGCTATTGATGGGACTCATTTTTCCTCAAGGAGCACATGAGTACGTAAACCACAAAGGTTACTACTCCATTTTTATGCAGGCACTCGCGGACCACAGAGGCACTTTTTATGAATGTCAGTATGGGCTGTACAGGAAATGTTCACAATGCTAGAGTTTTTTGCCTCTCTGGAGCCAACCTTCATGGACAGGTTGGGGCACTATTGCCACCAGATTACATTGACATAAATGGTGTTACGTCCTCACCGTTATTCTGGGGGACCCTCAATAACCCACTTTTGCCTTGGCTGATGAAACCCTACCCTGATTTCAGAGGCCATAGTGAACATTTAAAAAATAAAAGGTTTGTTTGTTTGATTATACTCTCAACAGCTGTAGAATGGCTATTGAATGTGCTTTTGGAAGATTAACATCACATTGGAGGTGTCTACAAACCCATTTGGATGCCAGTGTCATCAATGCTGCCCCTGTTAATGGGGCTTGCTGTGCTCTTTACAACCTTTCTGAAGCCAGAGGTGAGTCATTTCCCCCTGAACAGGACCTATGCTCCCTCAGCTAGAACGTGCGGGGTGTGCAGAAGTCAGGCAGCAGAAGTTAGGGATGCTTTGAGCTCCCCCATTTTGGAACTGCATAGCCCAATGGAAGAGGGGGAATAGTACCTGTGTGAATGTGCTTGTGGGGGGAAAAGTGGCTCATATGGGGAGGGGAGCAGCTCTTGGTAGGGGTGTGGGCTTGATTACTATGCAATGTAAGTCTGAATGACATGATGTATATTGAATTTGGTTGTGGGGGAGAAGGGGGCAGAGTGGGTATAGAGATGGAATTTATTTGTAAACATGTCTTAAAAGACTAAAACACTCAGACTTGGGAAGGCTAGCTGCCATTATAAAACCACATGCAGGAAATAGTTAATACCCAACACAATCCTCCTACCACTGCATGTCTCCTGCCCCCATGTTCTTTTCCCCTTTTCCCCTCAGTTGACAGCAGGGGAGGTAGGTAGAGGTTTCCACTGAAGAAGGGTTGAAGAAGGGAGCTTGCACGGGGTGTAGTTGCCCTGCCCAGCTGCTCATGAGTCCTGAATGCTTGGGCCACCTCAACATGGAGATGTCCAAGCTACTGCTGGGCTGAAGGTACATTGCAGGGTGGTCATGCTGTGGTAGTGGGGAGGCAGCAGGAGCCTGGTTCTAAATACACCCTTCCCCACAGGGGAACTAACTATCTGGAGTTCCTTCTTCAGGAGAACTTTGCAGCAATCAGCAGCTGTGAGAGAATTAACATGATGCTGAGTTAGCTCACACATGGCTTAACTCTGCAGCTTTACTCCACCCAGCACAGTTCTGGGGAAAAACTGACACACATTTATCCTTTGATAAATGATTTTGTGACCTACAGACTGCATGGATAACCCCTAACTGAAATGCACTAGATTTGGAAGTAGAAGTAGCTCCATAGACCCAGAAAGAGTGATTACAAAGTGGCAAATTTCTTATAACTGAAAAGGAAAACAAGATGACTTTAGCAAACACCTATGATTTAACTGTTAAAATAACCTTTAGAGTTGTTTATGAATGTTTTGAATTCTAAGTTACCATTTTGAACTCTTTGTGGTGGGGAACACCTAGGCTGTGTGATACAATCCGCCATTAGTGGCCAAATGCTGGTAGCCAGGGTTTATCATTTTTTGCATTGTTTCTTACAGCAGAAATCCCTCCCATTACTGTAATAATAAACTCTACATTTGAGCTATACACTTACTGGGCTCCAGGGCAGCTTCTGTCTCCACTGGATTCTCTGCAGGCTCATCAGTGGGCTGTTCCTTGCGGGGGTGGGAGGGGAATCAAATAGCTCTTCCAAATAGGGACCAAGTATTTGCTGTTGATCCTGATCCACAGCCTCTTCTGAGACTGGTTTCATTAAGAGTCACTTTCTGCTCCTTACTGTGAGCCTGCTGCTGGCTCCCATCAGTCCCCATGGTGCATTCAGGGCCCAGTAGGGCACCATCACTGCTGATCAGGTTGTCATGAAGCACGGTTGGCTCCATCCTGGGTGCAGTTCCCAGAATCTGGTCAAAGTCCTCATATAATGGGCATTTCATTGGCAAGTTGTGTGAGGTGCAGTTCTTGTCCCTGGTCTTCCAGTACTCGCCCTTCAGCCAAGCACTTAATACGCTCCCTGCACTGATCACCTGTTTGGAAAATTTGCAAAGCAGCAAGCTTTTTAGCTATTTGCTGGTACATGTTGTTGTTCCAGGTGCTTTTGCTGAAGTCCACAGTTTTACTGGCCTAGCACCAGAGAGTCCTCAAAATCTGGCTGCACTTCCATGACCATGAAGCAGCTCACTTAGCAAAAAGGCTTGATCAGTTTACTCTACGTGGCAAACCTATGTGAGGCTCTCTGATAGCGTACTTGCAGATTGGTGATTGGAAGAGAATGGTTAATGCTGACCTGAGCTGCGTCCATTCGCCAAACGGGGCTGGGGAGGGCAGCTTCCATTTTCAGTAGAGTGGATTGCAGATTGTTGGAATAGAGAGGATTAAGGAAGTTGTCCTATGGAATTGTGGGGTACTTCTGGCTGACTCCTGGGACCTGAGTCAAGCAGAGCTGTGCCTGCAGTGCAAAACCATAGGGCTCAGACTCTGGGTTCTGGCTTGACTTGCGCTTGGACCCTCTGCCCTGCAAGGTCCTGGGATACTGGTTCAGAGTCCTGGATTAGTGCAATTGCAGCATAGATGCAAGAGGTGTTAGGTTTGAGCCTGGGTGTCAGAGAGGTTCAAAGAGAAATGGAAGGAGGGATGGGAAATTGTGCGCTGAAAATAACACTTGAGTGCTCATGTTGTGCCATAGTATATTTGTTCCTCTTTTTTCTTTTTTCCTTTCTGATTTGAGGAGCAGGTTGAACTGTAAAATGTGTACTGCTGGCTTTTCTAACAGTTTATGTAGTACTCCACACAAACGTTTTTCCCCCCTCTGGCTTGCTCTTCATTCTGCTACGGGTGAATCCATGCTGACTGACTGCTCTCTCCAATTATGTACCTGTTAGCCTTGAAGTGATCATAACCTAATGGGTGATATATTGCTGTAAGTGGCAAATTAAGTTTTTACCCTTTCAATTTATTGTTTATCAGCAATTTAATCTGTCATGCCTATAGTCCCATTGATGGTTTTTAAGGCAGCTTTAACTTCATCCCCACCAGGGTGGCCAGTGGTAGTTTTGCATATATATTATTGCATAGAGATGATCCAGGAAACAATATAAGGTTTGGGCTTCTAATTATTTCATAATAAATATCTTCCCTCCAATTCAAGTGCTGATGAACAATATTATACATAATTAGTAGCATTGTATATAATATTCTATTTAACATTGGGTGTAGAATAAATTGAAGGGAGAGGCATGTTCTGAAACAGCTCCTTCTGTCATGACTTTCTTTAACTTTTCTCATGTGGCTTGATTTTTCTTTCATCTGCTACCCACTACCAAACCCATTTTTCTCAGCTTTTGTTTCTCAGTTTAAATCTATTTTTATCTAATGATGAGTCAGTCACTGGTCTCTAGTTTAACACATCTTGTGTTGCTCAGAATGGCCTCAAATCCTTCTCATATGAAGAAGAATAAAAGAACTAGCTAACTGCATTATGACTGTTTTATTCTATTCCACACCAAAAGCAAAGCTGGGTGCCATATATTTATTTCTTAAATTCTTCCTGAGTCAATGATTCTTGAATAGATTTTTTTCCCCCCTCCTAACACAATTTCTGTCAGGTTTTATACGTGCATGCACCTTGGTTTGCTACTAGTTTGTCTCACCCATAGCTTATATAAATGCTGCAGTTTTTGTTTTCTTGTACTACTTGTTAAATTCCGCTGCAGCTGAAATAATTAAATTGTCATCTAATTATAGTGGTGCCACTCAGATGGCCAGAGTTAAGGTTGTGTCAGCATTTGCATTATAAATCCTTAATATCAAGGGTTTATAACAGCTCAACTATAAAATGTGTTTTGAGCTAAACCTTGGTTTGCAAGGTCTCAGGCCAGCATTGAATTCTTTTTAAACCATACAATTTGAAAATAACTTAGTTTAAGTGTTTCAAAAATAAATTTAATGCTTGTGAAAGTGCTGGATTTGTTGCTCTGCAGACTACAGTCCTCTATTTAACCACTTAACAGGTACAGCAGAGGGCACTGCATTATAAGTTTCTCCATGATGCCTGAAACTGGCCTCATTCCTGACTTGAAAGAAATAATTCCATAAAATGAGAGGATAGCTCAATCTGCATGTAAATTAGCATTTTGCTGGCAATAAAGGCCAATTACTGTCAATTATGGTGGTGGCTTACAGGATCAATTAATGGACAACCATTACAACTAACACGCAGGGACTGGACTGAGACCACCAAATCATATTTCACTTGCTCTCAGTCATCAAGGAACTATTAGATGGTGATGAAGGCTTCCATTACCAGTCTCATAAGCCCAGCCCTCTAATCATTTTTAATTTGAAGAATATGTTAGGAAGAGGGAGGAGGTCAGGTAAGGAACTGGAGGCAAAGCAGCCCACAGAAATGGATTGATTTAGGTATTTTTAGAACTGTTGCCTATAATTAAAAAAACTATTTTTTCTGGATTTTTTTTCCAGGTGTATCAGCGATCTCAGCTAAAGTGGAGCCTCAATTTCTCAAGGAAAGAGATGGAAATAATCTCACTGAAATAGATTTTTCAGGTAAGCTAAAACTCTTGATCACATGACACCCCTCCAATTACTTGGGGGTAGGCTTCCCACCATGTGTCTTACCAGGTGACCTTGAAAAATCTTGTTCCTATCCAGTTAGTACAAAGTCAGTTTGGGGTATGAACACATTTTATCATTAAACATGGTTGGATGCAGTTCAGGCTCTTACTAAGATTGAACATCTCTTTCAAACAGACATTATGACTTTCATGAAGAAATCACTTGGTGCAATTCTTTGGCCTGTGTGATGCAGGAAGTCAGGCTAGATGATCAGTGATCTCTATGGATTTTAAGGTCAAAAGGGTCAAATCCTGCTCCATTGAAATCAATGACAGAATTCCTATTGATAATGGGCCATAATTTCACCCTCTGACTATATTAATCAAACCAGGGAGATTTCCCCACCTCCCCAGTATTTGTATTACAATAGTGTCTAGAGGCATCAAGAAAGATCAGGGACTCATTGTACACTCTCACAACAACCCACATGGTCCCTATTCAAGGGTCTTGTAATCTAAATAAGAATCTATAAATTACATATACAAAACAGATAAAGGAGGTATCTCAGTTTTACAGATGGGAAATAGAAGTACAGAGATATTAGGTGGTTTGCCCAAGGTAATGCAGGAAATATATGCCAGAGCTAAGTATTGAACCCAGACTCTTGGAGTACTTTTGTGACTTGAGTTGAACAATTCACAGAGAGCTTCTGATTGCGAAGATGTGAATCCTTTTCAGTATATCAACTTGCTGCTTTCACATGTGTTGTTGATGAGATGACTGCATAAAAATCTTCATTTAAACTAAGTAAAAAGATTCATAGGGTCAGCCCTTTCTAATGCCCATTTTAGAATCAAATTTACATCTGATTGAAATATTTTCTGCTTTTATAAAGTATTTACATTATAATGCAAAATCATGAATGTACGATTTTATTACTTGTTTTATTCTTTAAAATAATCTTCAGTCATTAGTTTTCTTTTGTCCTTCGTCTTGGATCTTCAGTCTGTATTCGGATCTTCGCAAGCTGGGATGTGCCCATGAATCTGAAGAAAGAATATGGGCTCTAAGATTTGTTAGCGGTATTTTTTTCCTTCAGTCTTTTGAAAATGAGAAGACCAAATTCTAAATCTTTTCTCTAGTCTGTTAAAACATATATAGTACCATAATAGTATGTCCATAACTTCTGAAACCTGATTGGATAGAGAGTTCACAATCACCATATAGAAAAGAAAAACTGTAAAGAGGTAGAACTGATTGGTTAACTGATTAAATTAATATGTAGTGCTTTTTACCATTTATCACCTATATGAAGTGTTCTATCAAGTGCAAGAAATTCTGGCAGCTCATTCTTCTAACAAAGTGTATAATGAAAAAAGAAAATGGCATGTCAAAAATACATCCCTGTATTACAATTGTTACAATATTTAACTAAATCTCATTGCGCTCCAAAGACTGTAATTATGATGTTATCCTTGAGCTTTATAAATTGGCATAAATGAAAAGCCCTTGGAAGCTTTCCATTCATGAGGTGCTCTTGCATTAGGTATAGCAGTTTTCTATCCCTGGTTCCTCAAACAGATTGGCCAGATCAGATGTTTAAACACCTAAGCTCTTCTCCTTGGCACCTCACCCCTGGTTTGCTTAGGTGGCTCCTCATTCAGCTGGCCAGTTTCTGAAAATCTTTCTTAGGTAATTAACACTCCCCATGCATTCCATGGGGCGCTGAAGGTCATGGAGTTCCCTAATTTAGGACTGAAAATTCCACTAGGCAGTGGGTGGCCAATGGGTTAGGCATTGCTGCACTCAGCTGAACACCACCTAAATCCTTCTAAAAGGCTGGGCCTCCATGACTATGGTGATGCAAGGTTTGGCAAAGATTGAATATTGTTTGTAAGATCCTACTGGGTTTTTTATCCATTTCTTAGCTCTCTAGAGAAGAGTCAAGCAGATTGCACTATCTTTGCAGCTTTGGTGTTCATATTAACGATCTACAGAGTGATAATGAGTTACAGCCTGCTGATATTGACAGCTACTGAGAGTGACAGCCTCTGAGACTATAGCTGCTCTCCAGATCTTAGGGTCAATGCTGCTGCTAAGAGACTTTAGAATCATAATAGGAAAAAACAGCATCACATTATGACATGGGGAATGAATGTGCCACAATTTCTGCTTAGACAAATTGACAATCCTGAGGCTACGTCCTCAGTACGGGGGGCGGGTGGGAGTCGATTTAAGATACGCAAATTCAGCTACATGAATAGAATAGCTGAATTCGACGTATCGGAGCCGACTTACCACGCTGTGAGGACGGCGGCAAATCGACCTCTGCGGCTCCCCCGTCGACGGCGTTTACTCCTATCTCTGCTGGTGGAGTACAAGCATCGATTTGGGGATCGATTGTCGTGTCCCGATGAGACGCGATAATTCAATCACCGAGAGATCTATTTCTATCCGCCGATTCAGGTGGGTAGTGTAGACCTGCAGTGTCTCAGGGAAGACATGGATGAAAGTAAACCAGTTGCTCTGGGTCCTTAGTCCTTCTTGCAAAAAACAAAATGAAGGCAAAGTAGTTGCTTTTGAAAGCAAACTTGTTCAGCTTAGATCAACCTGTGATACCTAGCAGCTGAACTAACTGTTTATCTCAAGCCATCTGCAAACACTTGTAAGGTCTCCCATTATGTAATCAGCTACAAGACATCGGGTAAACGTTTTGTGGGAGAGTGACGGTTTCAGCTTTCTGATTGTCAGGCAGAACTATCTGGGGTCATTTCATACAGGGTGCTGTTCTTGATAGCAAATATGAACAAACAAGTCAAGGCAGAAACAATTTTATTTTACCCTGATCCTGACCATCTGGCTACCTAGGTAGATTTTTCAATTGTTTTTGCTTTAAAAAAAAAAATCTTTTAAATCAGATACACTCTGAAAAACACAGAATGATTCAAGGAACTTTAGAACATATATTTTTCCCTCCACACCCAAGTCTTCCAAGACAATAAGGAACCACATCCAAAGAATGCATCTGAAGTCTGAAACCAGTAATGTTTTGACTTTTATCTCCTTGTGCAATATTCCGAGTACGCGTGCGCGCTCTCTCTCTCTCTCTCTCTCTCTGTGTGTGTGTGTGTGTGTGTGTGTGTGTGTGTGTGTGTTTTAAAAAGCTTGTTTTGAGTTTGACCCTGTTTATACATCCTGCCCAAGTGCCACTTTGCTCCATTTAAGGTGGTCTTATTTTAATCTAAAGTTCACAGGCAACTCTCTTGCTCCTTTATTTTCCACTTTGTTAAAAAAAAAAATCACTAGGGAACAGATTTTACTGTTAACTTGATGCGTTAAGAGGCAGTTGAGAGTTACTTTCTGCCCTAGATGTCTACCAGTCTCTATCATTAGCATCTGAGTCACTGCCAGTAATTACCTATTTCTTCATCATAGGTCTATTTTGTTCACTTCTGGAATTTTTTTTTAACCCTATTTTACTTTATCTGTTTCTTTTCTTCAGGCTCATTTCATTATTGACAAGTTTCTTTTTACTTAAAATTGTTTCTGCTTTTATTGTCACTAAATTACCTCAACAAAGAGTGTTTCTTTCATTGCATTTTAGCTCTAAAAGCTCTTTCATGGAAGTTCAGGGTCAACAGGAGGGCTTATATAAGCAAATTAACATTAGGCCTGGTCCAGCTTTCTGTGAAGTCAATGAGAACTTGCATTGAAATGAGTGGAAGCAAGATTGAGATTATTGGGGTTATCATAACACTGCTCTACAGCCAAAATGCTTCTGAAATAAATGTAGTCAAACTTTACTAATTCTGGGT